GCCTCGCCGCGCCCCGCCGCGCCATGGTCAAGGAGAGGCTGAGGCGGGAGGCGGCCCAGGGCCTCGCCGCGCCGCGCCATGGTCAAGGAGAGGCTGAGGCGGAAGGCGGCCCAGGGCCTCGCCGCGCCGCGCCATGGTCAAGGAGAGGCTGAGGCGGGAGGCGGCCCAGGGCCTCGCCCCGCCGCGCCATGGTCAAGGAGAGGCTGAGGCGGGAGGCGGCCCAGGGCCTCGCCGCGCCGCGCCATGGTCAAGGAGAGGCTGGCGGGAGGCGGCCCAGGGCCTCGCCCCGCCGCGCCATGGTCAAGGAGAGGCTGAGGCGGGAGGCGGCCCAGGGCCTCGCCGCGCCGCGCCATGGTCAAGGAGAGGCTGAGGCGGGAGGCGGCCCAGGGCCTCGCCGCGCCGCGCCATGGTCAAGGAGAGGCTGAGGCGGGAGGCGGCCCAGGGCCTCGCCGCGCCGCGCCATGGTCAAGGAGAGGCTGAGGCGGGAGGCGGCCCAGGGCCTCGCCGCGCCGCGCCATGGTCAAGGAGAGGCTGAGGCGGGAGGCGGCCCAGGGCCTCGCCGCGCCGCGCCGCGCCATGGTCAAGGAGAGGCTGAGGCGGGAGGCGGCCCAGGGCCTCGCCGCGCCCCGCCGCGCCATGGTCAAGGAGAGGCTGAGGCGGGAGGCGGCCCAGGGCCTCGCCGCGCCGCGCCATGGTCAAGGAGAGGCTGAGGCGGGAGGCGGCCCAGGGCCTCGCCGCGCCGCGCCATGGTCAAGGAGAGGCTGAGGCGGGAGGCGGCCCAGGGCCTCGCCGCGCCGCGCCGCGCCATGGTCAAGGAGAGGCTGAGGCGGGAGGCGGCCCAGGGCCTCGCCGCGCCGCGCCATGGTCAAGGAGAGGCTGAGGCGGGAGGCGGCCCAGGGCCTCGCCGCGCCGCGCCATGGTCAAGGAGAGGCTGAGGCGGGAGGCGGCCCAGGGCCTCGCCGCGCCGCGCCATGGTCAAGGAGAGGCTGAGGCGGGAGGCGGCCCAGGGCCTCGCCGCGCCGCGCCATGGTCAAGGAGAGGCTGAGGCGGGAGGCGGCCCAGGGCCTCGCCGCGCCGCGCCATGGTCAAGGAGAGGCTGAGGCGGGAGGCGGCCCAGGGCCTCGCCGCGCCGCGCCATGGTCAAGGAGAGGCTGAGGCGGGAGGCGGCCCAGGGCCTCGCCGCGCCCCGCCGCGCCATGGTCAAGGAGAGGCTGAGGCGGGAGGCGGCCCAGGGCCTCGCCGCGCCGCGCCGCGCCATGGTCAAGGAGAGGCTGAGGCGGGAGGCGGCCCAGGGCCTCGCCCCGCCGCGCCATGGTCAAGGAGAGGCTGAGGCGGGAGGCGGCCCAGGGCCTCGCCGCGCCCCGCCGCGCCATGGTCAAGGAGAGGCTGAGGCGGGAGGCGGCCCAGGGCCCAGGGCCCAGGCCTGGCCCTGCCAAGGTGCATGGGCATGGACGAGGACGCGGGATGAGCCCCACCAGTGCTTCGCGGTGCTGCCTCGCCCGTTCCCTCTCGCGCTCATGGTGCGTTCCGCATGGGTGCGAATGCGACAGAGCGACGACAGCACCGCCCGCGGGGTGGGCTAGCCCGCGCTCGCGCCGCTGGCCCAGCTCGATAGAAGGCAGGAAGGGTATCACTCCAATCACTCCTCCGATCCCCAGCAACTTTGAGGCGTACGCCCGCGGGTCTCCGAGATGACAGAGTGGAGCATCGACCCACGCGTACTCGAACTCACGATGAGATGACACGGGCTCGGCAAAGAAGGCTCGTCGGAGGAAATGCGCTAAGGGTCTTTCCAAGGGTCTTTCCAATCGGAATCCGATGCGGACAGGGCAGCCTGCGCGAGCCCTGCGAGCCGGTTCCCTCCCGTAGCGCCGCTCTGGCGCTCTTGGCTCTCGGCCGCGCGAAGCTAGCAGGGGATGTGCACGTTCAACAAACATGCACACACACACACACACACACACACACACATTGTCCCCTTCTACACCCCCCCCCCCTCTCTCTCCCCCACACACTCAATCTGGGCACAGAGAGCCTATCTGCGCACTGTGCGTTCAAAGGCAGCGACGCGTGCAGCGCAGTGAAGGGATCGAGCCTCGGCGCAGCGGAGTTTCAGAGTTTCGGGATGTCGTCATCCACTTCCCTCATGCTCGTGAGACGAACGCGCGGACGAACGTATTAAGGGCTCATTAATTTTGTTCATTGGGTCGTTCAGGTTGTTGATGAGCGCGTCCGCGGTTTCGAGCCACCCGCAGAACTTTAGCGAGCGCCTGAATGCCTGAATAGTGGTGATTGGGCACGCGTTGCTGTACCTGTGTGGCTGTCCCAGTGTTCCATGTTCTTCGGATAACTCGGCTCCAACGGCGACGCCGATCGCGGTGCTCGGATTCCTGCCTGGCTGCTGACCCCACCGCCCGCCACGCGCGGCCACGCCGCCCCGCCGCCCCGCCGCCCCGCCGCCCCGCCGCCCCGCCGCCCCGCCCAGAGAGGCGGACAGGACGGCCGAGTGCACCAGCGCGTACTGCACCTCCCCGAACCTGCAGGCTGAGTCCGTGCTGATTACGAACAGTGCCCTGTCTCTCTCGCACTCATGAACCTCTCTGCGAGGGAGCGCGAAAGAGACGGGGCGACAAAGTAGGCTTCGGATGAGAGCCCCCCCCCCCCCCCCCACACACACACACCCTCCCCCCAGCCGCAAACTAAATTCACTTTAGACAAATAAACACGCAGTCTCACTGCATTCGGACTCCCGGAAATATGATTTCCGATATTAAATTTGACGTTCCCACAAATAGGAACCTTGTTGCTAGAACTCGAGAGACTCGGTTTCATGGGCGCTGTGTATGAATGCGTCGTTGGGCGCCTGTCTCTCGGCGCAGCATTGTGCAAACTTTGGGCGCCTCTTTCGGTACGAAATGTGATCGAGTCAACTCGTGTGGATGGCGGCGCATACACTTAGGGCTATGGATGCACACACACACACACACCCAGACCCACACAGTAGGGCTGTGCCCACCACGCTGTGCCCGTGCCTCCCAGGCTGAACCTTGCCGACCAGACTGTGCCCACCGCTGTGCCCACCAAGCGTTGCCCGCCTCGCCACGGCACGGCGCTACGCGTCATTACTCTGCGCTTCTCTTATTGTTTTGGTCAGTACCGGTTCCTTTGGGTGTGGCAAGGCCGTTCGGAGGTTCGCCCCCCCCCCTCTCCCCGCTCTCTTCATCCCGGCGAAATGGAAATGAACCGCTCCAATTGGCCCGCCCGACTGAAAATAGATATCCATTATTTCCTCCAAACTACAGAATGGAGTCCCGGCCCTCTATCTGCGCCCAGCACTCGGGAAACACCATTAACTAAGACGCTTTGCAGCCTCTGCCGCGCGGCGGGCTGCTCTATGGATGTTGGTCCTCCCGCTGCTGCCACTTCCACGAGATGGCAGTGGCGCGTCAGCATACTCCAAACTTCTGTATGCATCCGATCAGCAATGGCCGATCTACATAGCCAGCGAGCTCGTCTCCGAAGACCGATCTACTCAGCACTCAATCAAAAAGGCCGTTCTACATAAAGCGATTGTAAAATGTAGATGAGGCTATGGGCGGACCGGATGCATCCGGCGACTTCTGTCCGGCAGCAGGACCGAATCAGATTCTCCAGCACCTGATAGGCGCGTCCAGTTCAGGGCGGGACGAGACATTACCCCGCGCAGAACCTAAAGTCATCAAAACGATTTGGGCAGAGGTGGCACATGCCGAGAGACCTACGTTTTCTCCAAACATATGACCTTGAAGATGGGGCGTTGTCACCTGTCTCGCCGTGTCTCGCCCTGCAAAGCGTGCTCACAGATCCGAATTTAGATTTTCTTTTGTTTTTGTTTTTTTCTCGTCTTTCTTCTGGCAACGCGTCACTGGACCCATGAGAGTCGTAAATTTCTAAGGGGGTTAATGGACTTCAAATATGACTGAGTTGACGTCACAAAGACGAAGCTTGTGTTGCTTGCCAAGCTTTTTCGTGCAAATGTACACAGGAGTTGGCGAATTTAGTTTGATTAACATTAAACAAACCCACGCGTGATATTGTGTAAGTTCTTGTCAAAACTTACATAAGTACATGTTAAATTAAACTACGCACTGGTAAAACAAAATGAAAATAGAACGACATAACTCTCCAAAATAAAAATACTACTTTTTTTTTAAGGAAGAAAGTGGAGGTGTTAAATGGCAAACCCACTGTAGGCCAGAGCAGGGCGCCAGCCTAGGAGATTAAACAGTCCTCGTTCTGCGAGTTCCGCGCGAAACTCGCCGCGGACTCGCCACTCCGGACAGACACCGCGGTCCACATTAAACCCTACGCCCGTAAACCGCCAAATAGTGACCTAGAGAAGGAGAGGAGCGAGTGGCGCACGGCGTGGCGCGCGGCGTGGCGGGTCACTGGGGCAAGCTGACCATCAGCACGCCGCCAAATCGGCATTCGGCACTGGGAAAGACAACCAAAAACGTGAACTGTTTATTTTTTGTCGGCTTTTAAGGGGCACATTTAAAAAAAATTCACGCACGCACGTACGGGAGCAGTAACCACTAAACCTAGTTTTTTTTCATCCTTTCCGATCAAAACATTTTAGGGCAGCAAAGAAATCTTCAGAAAGTTTCAAAAAACGACAAGTGTTTCTGACCACTCATTTTTCACTAGCCAAGTGCAACACCCCCGAAAGAGCAAAATCAAACATTGAGCACATTGACCCCAGCCACACGCCTTGCCGTGGTGTTATGACGCTTCCCTAGTGTCTGCAAGCCGTCCTTCGATGCAGCGCGTCGGGCAGCCTAGCCGTGCCCAGCCCGCCCAGCCCGCCTAGCCTGCCAGCCACAGCGTCCGGCCCGCGCAGCCACACCGTCCAGGTCTTCCTCCTCTCCCTTCTTCTTTTTGCGGGCCGCAGTGCGCGGCGCGGCGGGCGGGGAGGGACGAGGGGAGGACCGGCCGCAGCCGTCGTATAAAAGCGAAAGGCTGTCTCTGCGGCAGCACACTTCCTTCTGATCTTCGCGGAGGACAACACAGACCAAACATGTACTCTCTGGTGAGTGATCGGCGTTAGTCCATTCTGGTCGATTTGTTTGCCGCCACCCCAATTCTACTGGGGTATTATTCAGAGGGCTAACATTGCCTTGCCTTTGCCTTGCAGGTGGTGTTGTTCGCGGCCGTGGCCGTCGCCTCTGCTGCTCCCTCCGGCCTCGGCCTGGTGGCCCCCGCGGTCCACACCTACGCCGCCGCCCCCGCTGTTCACACCTACGCCGCTGCCCCCGTAGCTGCCGCCGTGGCGGTCGAGTCCCCCACCGTCGTGGAGACCCGCACCTCCGTGGGCTACGCTCAGGCTGCCGCCCTCAGCAAGCAGGTGCACTACGCCCCCAAGCCCGTGGTGACCGGCTACAGCTCCTCCGTCATCAAGCCCGACCTCGGCGCCCTGGCCACTCCCCTGCACTCCGTGCTGCAGCAGCGCGTCCTGGCCCCGAGCCGTGCCGTGCACACCATCACCCCCCAGGTGACCCAGGTCCAGCCTGAGCTCCACGTCCAGAAGGTGGCCGTCGACGTCCCCGTCCAGACCCCCTACGTCAGCGAGGTTGAGGTCCGTACCCCCCAGGTCGTCGCCAAGACCGCCCCCGTCATCGCCGCCCCCGCTGTGGCCACCTACGCCGCCGCCGCCCCCGCTGTGGCCACCTACGCCGCCGCCGCCCCCGCTGTGGCCACCTACGCCGCCGCCGCCCCCGCTGTCCACACCTACGCCGCCGCCGCCCCCGCTGTGGCCACCTACGCCGCCGCCGCCCCCGCTGTGGCCACCTACGCCGCCGCCGCCCCCGCTTACACCACCTACGCCGCTGCCGCCCCTGCCTACGCCACCTACGCTGCCGGCTACCCCGCCGTCAACACCCTGGGCTACTCCAGCTACAACTACGCTCTGTAAGGAGTCGGCCGAGGCGAGACAACTGGACCATTTTGGCGACCCACTCGTCGCGGAGCTGTCCCGCACCGGCTGCTTCCTGATGACTGAACGCCAACACCCCACCCGACCCGCCCTGCGGCGGCGCGGCAGCCGCGGCAGCGAACGCAAGCTGTGAGGCGGCTCGCTTGGGGTCCGTCAACTTTACAGTCTGGAATAAACACCTCCGACAACTAAGAGTGTTGCCTTGACTTTTGAGTTCCCCTCGTTCCCCCGCACACTAACCGACACGAGGAGCGCTGTGGAGTGGGCGGGCAGTCCAACGCAGGGAACCCGGCAGCCCAATCAATTAAACGGCCTCAACGAAAGGAACGCGTGGAAACGAAAACGAAGGCGAAGGTCGCCATGCGGCGCGTGGCACGCGGCGTCGGTGGCCGAACCGCCGAGTTGGTGCCCGTTGGGTGGCCTACCCACGGGCCCACGGCGCACACCGCGCCGCGCCGTCTCGGAGCCACGCCGCGGCCACGCCTGCAGTCCCGGAGTACGTCGTTTGAAGACGACTCTTTCTTGCATAAAACTAAAAACCCGGTGTGCGTCCAATGCGAAAAACATGAGTCATATGCCAAACCGCATCAGCCCCCTGCCCCCTCACCACTCAGCAAAGCAACACATGGTACCACAATCGAGTCATACACGCCACTCTCTTTAAAATTTGGTTTACGATAAGACAGAAAAAATTGAACCCCACGACCCTCTCCCCCCGCAATGGGGTTCGAGCCGCCTGCTTAACTTCGGTGTTCGTTGTTGCGTGTCAACGCCTCTACGCTCTCGCCTACCATCGACTGTGGAGTGCGACTCGTCAAGAAGGGTACAAGGTAGCTTTTATACAGACAGCAAAATAAAAGAGGACGTCGACAAAAACCATTGAGGACCGGATTCGAACCAGAGGTTTTGCCTGCCGCAATGCAGTGCGCAAGTGCCCGCGACTAGAAAAGCTTGATGCACTGCGAGCCAGCAGCGGTGCTGATAAAACTTTGGCAGTGACGTGACGTACCCTCCGCGATTCGGAACAACTGTCTCCAAGTGCCCTGCTTGACGAGTCGCACTCCACGGTCGATGGCATTTCAAAAGTTTAGAATTTTTAAAATAGGTTTTAAATATTTAGGTACTTTTATTTTTATACTATTTGTCAAGTCCAGTTGTATTGTGAGCTTAGTCTTAATTTAAGAGAAAACAGTACAGTGAGTTGGGGTGCTCACAGCCAAGCGCCCGCGCGATGCTGATACTTGGTCTTCTTCTCGATGGCGGCGAGGGCTGGCGGCGTGCTGCGGCCGTCCACCTGCGGCACCTGCAGCAGCTCGGTGCTCGGTGAAGTGCTCGGAAACGCCGCCCCAGCCGCCCCAGGGGACGGCGTCGACGCGGCGGCCTTGGCCATCGGCTGCATGAGAGCGAGGCGGTCGGGGGGCGCGGGCCTGGGCGCCGAGGTCTGGGGCGGCCCGGGGGACGCGGGCCTGGGCGCCGAGGTCTGGGGCGGCCCGGGGGACGCGGGCCTGGGCGCCGAGGTCTGGGGTGGCCCGGGGGACGCGGGCCTGGGCGCCGAGGTCTGGGGCGGCCCGGGGGACGCGGGCCTGGGCGCCGAGGTCTGGGCGGCCCGGGGGCGCGGGCCTGGGCGCCGAGGTCTGGGGCGGCCCGGGGGACGCGGGCCTGGGCGCCGAGGTCTGGGGCGGCCCGGGGGGCGCGGGCCTGGGCGCCGAGGTCTGGGGCGGCCCGGGGGACGCGGGACGACTGCCGTCCCTGGAGGACGCTGCCGACTGCACCGTGAAGATGGGGGTGCGCCGTGTGAGCGATCCGGACTGTCTGGCGGCGTCCACGTCGGGCACGTCGGGCACGTCGGGCACCGGGGACGATGCCGCCCAGCCCCGCAGCCCGGCCTCGGCGAACAGGTCTGGCGAGGCGTCGCGGCGTCGCAGGATGGGGTGGGACAGGAACTCCGGCTCCTCGAAGTGCGGCGGCGGCGAGCTGGCCAGGGCAGGTGGCAGATCGTAGTGCTGCGGGGGAAGAGGAGGTGGAGGCGGTGGCGGTGATGGAGTCGACCCTCGCGAACTCGTGGCGCTGTCCCCGGGAGTCGGGGAGGCCTCGGCCTTCACCGCTGTCACGTCGTGAAATGCGCCATGGAGACCGTCGGGAACCTCCTTGGCGCCCACCTCCGTTCCCCGGCTGTCTGCAGAGTGCGGGTGGGCGTGCTCGAGGTCGCCGTCGACGGACTCCACCCGAGGCGTGGCAGGCGCCCGGCGCTTAGTTGACTTGCTCAGTGATCTTCTGCGGACGGACAACCGCTGCAGGGCCGGGCCGGGGCCGTAATCTGCCGTGCTGGTCCCTGCCCAGAGTAGCAAGGAAATGGAGTATGAATCGTCAAGCTTGTTTAGTTAAGCAGAAAACCTCCAATCAAGAGCCCAACCTGCGTCCCCGCGGTCTCCGCCGGCCCGACAGTCCCCGCTGTCGCGGCGCTGCGGCCGCGGCTCGCCCCGCAGCAACTCCCGGAAGTCGCGCGTCCCCGGCAAGGGCGGCATCGGGGAGCTACCGCCGCTCGGGGCGTTGAGGCCCACGGCGCCAGTCTCCTCCGCCAGCCGACGCGCCTCCTCCATGGCGCGCTGCAGGCTCTGCTGGTTCATGAAGGACTCCCGGTTGTGGCAGCGCCCGATCTGCGACGCCTGGCACAGCCCCTGGACGACCTGCGCACAGAGTAGGAGACCTCAGCAAATTGGGCACATAATCCAATGGGGTCTCGGATGGTGGTCGGGTTGGTGGTCGCACCTGGCGCCAGCGCATGGTGCTGGCCTGCAGCACGGCCAGCTTGGCCACCCTGCGGAAGCGCTGCAGCCCCGTCTCGTTCTCCGGCGGCGGCGCCATGATGAGCTGCTCCTCCTCGTCCACCGTCGCCACGGGCGCCACGTGGAAGTCCTTGAGCAGGCGGCGCTCCCACACGCGCTGCCGCTTGTTGCCGGGGGCGTCTGCAACGCGGGGGAGGCGAGGTGGGTTACTTAGTTACTTCCAGTCGATGCTCTGATGCACCAACAGCATCGTGGGCGGGTGCAGCAGGCGGACCCCGACCGCCAATTACCGCGTCAAGGTCCCAGAGCGATTCCACACTGCGTTTCCTCGCTCCGTCCCGCTTGCACCTTCGCGTGACGCCCCGAGTGCGAGAGAGACAGAGCGACGAAAGCCCGGTAGGTCGACAGTGCCGCTGAGCCGCAATCACGACATGAGTCTTCGGGGAATTGGAAAGCCACTTACTCCGGTCGTCCGCCGCCCGCACCGCGCTCACGTCGAAGCCGTTCCTGCTCATGACCTCCAGCAGGTCGCAGCGCAGCGCCGAGATGTCGCCCTTGACTTCGTTGACGTCGTCCTCGGTGACGGGGGCCTCGATGCAGGCGCGGTGCGACTTGGAGACGTGCCGCCACACCAGCGCGCGCATCACGGCCGAGTAGCGGTAGTCCCGCTCGCGCTCCACGCGCTCCTTGCGCTGCGCAGCAAGCACACCCTCAGTACGACACCTTCAGCCAGGACCCCCTGCCCCAAATGCCAAGTGCGGATTAACGCGTTGCACTCCGTTAATTCAAACTCCTATTAGTTTGCGCGGATTTGATGACTTGGATTGGGCTGGTTTGTTTTAAATGAGAAAAATGTGCTGACTGCTGGCCGGAGCCCCTGCGACCGCCAGGGTAGACCAGCCCGTTGCGGCGCCCTGTGCGTGGGGTTGCCTACCCAGCGCTCCGCAGGCGCTCGCGGCCAGGCGGAGCGGCGGCGGCGTACCTTGGTGGACATCCTCCGCAGTCCGGACTTGGGGCGCAAGAGGCGCATGATCCTCTTGGGGGTGGGGAAGATGTTGAAGGGCGGCGGCAGCGTGGCGCCCTGCTCGAAGTACGACATCCAGAGCCTCGTCCGGGCGAACTTCCACTCCGTGTCCGAGCGTTCCTTTTGGAAGAGTCAGGGCAGGGAGCTGGTCAAGGACTCGCCGAAACGGAAAGACTCTGGCATTTTGTTTGGATGTACCTCGATCATGGCGTACGAGTTGGACATCATGGCGATGAGGAGGTTCAGCAGCACGATCACGTTGATGACGGAGTACGAGCCGAACATGAGCAGCCCCCAGAAGCGCGTGTACTGCTTGATGCCGGTCAGCTCGAAGGAGTCGATGCCCACGTTGCCGAAGCTCGCCCAGAACAAGGACTGCGACGCCTCGAACAGGCTGGAAACACGCCGTACTTGGTGAAGCACTCGCTCTACCGACACAGGCGCACGACGGACACGCTCTAAAGCACGGCGGGCTACTTTGCGAAGCTGCGCCACTTGGTGCACGAGTCGGCGTGCTCCTCCCAGTTGGCTCGGCCGTCGGGGAGGCTGAAGCAGCGTCGGCGCTCCAGCTCGGCGAAGTACCACAGCAGCTGGTTCATCCCTGGAGCGGCGAAAAGAAAACTTATTGACCGGAGCCACAAGCTGAACGGGCAAAATAGGGCCAAATGGACTTACCGCAGGCGAAGGCGAAGAGGACAAGACTGTAGATGAAGAGGAACTTGACGATGTCGTTCACCATGCGGCCCAGCGAGATCTGCAGCGGTCCGAGGTGAGGGTTTATCGAGAACAGGTGCACCAGCTTGAGGGCGCTGCGGGACAAAAAACATTGCCATTGTTGTCGCCGAATCCGCCTTATTGCAGCACGTCGGAGGAATGCCTGCGCCCTGCCGCTCTGCCCTGCCTGAGAATGTTGGCCGCCGCGAACACGCCGTCGCCCACGAGCTGCGGGTCGAACTCGGACCAGCGCTCGCGCGGCACGAAGGCGCTCTGGGGGTCGGCGGCCACCTCGCGGCGCTGCTGCACGAAGGCGGCGGCGCGGAACACGAAGCACAGCACGTACAGCAGGTTGCGCGAGAAGTCGATGAAGTTCCACAGGTTGCGCAGGTAGCGCCGCATGCCCTCGCGCAGCATCTCCGCCGTCTCCTCCCAGATGAAACCTGCACCGGAAGGCACTGATGAAGTTCGTGTCCGCCTGGGTGTCCTCGTCCCAAACGGACAAACACGCACCCAGCACGTACACCGCCACGACCCACTCCAGGGGCGTGGGCGCGTTGCCGCGCTGGCGCTCCATGACGTCCTCGCCGTGGAAGAAGGCCATGATCTTGACGTCGATCCGCTGCGACACCAGAATCAGGACCACTGCAACCAACAGGATACCGCAGTTAGAGTAGCCTGGGGCTGGACCATCCAATCGATGGCGAGCCTTGAGCCCTTGGCGGGCGCTTACGCAGGAAGAAGAGGTAGGAGGAGGCGTGCAGCAGGAACTTGATGAAGGGCTTGCGCACGTGGCGGCCGAGGCGCGAGTCGGGCGCCACCATGTACACGGTGCAGTACAGCGGGAAGAGCAGCGCGATGACGGCCAGGTCCTGGGCCTTGCCCACCATGCTCTTGCGCCGGAAGCCGGGCAGGCCCTCGTACCACAGCGCGGCCAGCAGCTGCTGCACCTTGGGGTGCGCCACGAACTGCAAGCAGAAGGCCGTGTTCACCGCGAGCAGCCTCGCCTCGCGCCAACATGCACGCCCTTGTCTTCTACTCACAAAGCACCCAGAGCGAGATTTTACATCATTCAATGGCTATGTGAGTATTGCTATCAGTGTCGTCGCCTGCTCGAATGACCAACTAAATTTATGTTCAGTACGGTGGTTCCCATTCCTCAGTCACACCTTTACGGTACCTTCTTCTGCTTGTACAGGATGGCCAGCTCTAGGCGGGCCAGCTTCATGTGCTCGCCGTCCTCGTACGGCGGGCTGTTGGGGTCGTGGTTCAGGATGACGGCCAGCTCGGTGGAGGAGCGGATCTGCTGCAGCAGGTCGACGGCGAACTGCTGGCAGCTCTTTCGCAGCTCCAGGTAGTCGGCGCGCGACTCGGGCTCCGCCGTGGCCAGCTCGCGCAGCTCCCAGGACAGCTGGAAGGTGGTGAGCAGCGGGTCGGCGGAGGACAGCGCCATGAGCGACGGGCTGGACAGCGCGCGGTACTCCGACAGCCGGGCCGCCGAGTGCTGCGGCGGCAAAAGGGCTGCTCAGTCACGGGGGTGGACAGGGCCAAGGGGCAGCTTGGGGACAGCACCACGAGGCCACCCACTCTCTGCGGTAGACAGCGCCATGCGCCAGTGTGCCAGTCTCGGCATCGGACAGGGCCAAGGGGCAGCTTGGGGACAGCGGCATGAGGCCACCCACTCTCTGCGGTGGACAGCGCCATGCGCCAGTGTGCCAGTCTCGGCATCGGACAGGGCCAAGGGGCAGCTTGGGGACAGCGGCACGAGGCCACCCACTCTCTGCGGTGGACAGCGCCATGCGCCAGTGTGCCAGTCTCGGCATCGGACAGGGCCAAGGGGCAGCTTGGGGACAGCGGCATGAGGCCACCCACTCTCTGCGGTGGACAGCGCCATGCGCCAGTGTGCCAGTCTCGGCATCGGACAGCGCCATGCGCCAGAAGGCTACCCAGTCGGAGCGACCCAGTCTCTCAGTAAAAAGAATCGTGGCGGTCGAGGCGGTTTTGTGGAACATCGCAATAAGGCTGGTATGTATGTGTGTGTGTGTGTGAGAGAGAGAGAGAGAGAGAGAGAGAGAGAGAGAGAGAGAGAGAGAGAGAGAGAGAGAGAGAGAGAGAGAGAGAGAGAGAGAGAGAGAGAGAGGTCCACGTATGACGTGCATTCGCGCGGAAAGAGGAAAAGGCGAGCTCGGCCAGGAAATGAAACTAATAAGTGCGTCTGCGCCGGTCTGCTCCCTGCGGACTGTGGGCTGCGGTCAGGGATTCGAGCGGTTTGAAGCAAGCGATGGTGCTGCCCAGCGAAGCGTGAATTCCTTCGCTAATTTATTGTGGGGCCAGCCTTGCATTGTTTCATCTTTCCTCAAGAAAAGAAATTAATGAAACTAGAGAGGGCGCACGCGTGGGCCGAGGCGTGGCCAAGGCGTGGCCGGAGCATGGCCGCGGCGAAAGGCGAGGCGGAAGGCGAGGCGGAAGGCGAGGCGGAAGGCGAGGCGGAAGGCGAGGCGGAAGGCGAGGCGGAAGGCGAGGCGGAAGGCGAGGCGGAAGGCGAGGCGGAAGGCGAGGCGGAAGGCGAGGCGGAAGGCGAGGCGGAAGGCGAGGCGGAAGGCGAGGCGGAAGGCGAGGCGGAAGGCGAGGCGAAGGCGAGGCGGAAAAGGGGAGGCGGAAGGCGAGGCGGAAGGCGAGGCGGAAGGCGAGGCGGAAGGCGAGGCGGAAGGCGAGGCGGAAGGCGAGGCGGAAGGCGAGGCGGAAGGCGAGGCGAAAGGCGAGGCGGAAGGCGAGGCGGAAGGCGAGGCGGAAGGCGAGGCGGAAGGCGAGGCGGAAGGCGAGGCGGAAGGCGAGGCGGAAGGCGAGGCGGAAGGCGAGGCGGAAGGCGAGGCGGAAGGCGAGGCGGAAGGCGAGGCGGAAGGCGAGGCGAAGGCGAGGCGGAAGGCGAGGCGGAAGGCGAGGCGGAAGGCGAGGCGGAAGGCGAGGCGGAAGGCGAGGCGGAAGGCGAGGCGAAAGGCGAGGAAGGCGAAAGGGCACCTGCAGGGAGTCCTCGCGCTGCTCGCGCAGGCACGTGTCGCAGCCGCACTTGACGTCGTGCGGCATGGGCAGCGTGGCGCCGCGGTCCAGCAGGATCTTGAGGATCTCGTAGTTGTTGCGGTGCGCGGCCAGGATGAGCGGCGTGATGTCCGGCGTGAACATGGCCACGTTCCAGTCCACCTTCTCCCAGCTCTGCGACCCGACAGAAGGAACAGGCTTCACTTAGAGGCTAGGACGAATTTCGGCAGGTCGGACAAAAAGAGGTCGTACAAACGATGTTCTCCGGAGTAAGGTCATATGGAAGATAGGTCTGCGCAACCGAGATGCATGCTGGGAGACCTATCTTCCATATGACCTTACTCCGGAGGGGGTGACGTGATTCGCGGATGGAAGGCCGCTGAAAGTCACCACAAAACACGAGGTGTCTGCGTTACGACCCAAACACTTTCTGCCAATAGCATACACCCGAGGCAGGGCATAAGACAGAAAAATCTTTCGGCCAGCACGCTGCGGGTGTACGATCAGCAAAGAGTTCAGCCCAAAACACGACAGCCGTCTTCATTTCGGTCAGCCAAACCCCAACCGCGGCAACCGGGTAGGAAACGGTCAGGTTCGAGCCCCACTCGCTGAGAACCTGTTGCTGCCACGACTCACGTAAGGCTCGCCCTCTTTGTGCACCAGCTCCTCGTGCTCCAGGAGCAGCTCCACCACCTCCACGAAGCCGGCGTCGATGGCGATGAGCAGCGCGTCCCCGGTGGCCACGCCCATCACCACCAGCAGCTGCACCATGTCCAGCTGCTCGTTGTCGATGGCCAGCGAGAGCGCGCCGCGCCCCAGCGGGTCCACGCAGTTCACGTTCAGCGACTTGGTGCGCTCGGCCCGCTGGATGATCCTGCCAGAAAGAGAGGATTCTGTGGAGGCAAGTCTCAACATTTCGTCACATCCGCAGAGCAACGCATTGCCATGGCACCGGCCCGATACCTGCGCACTGCGGCGATGTCGCCCCTCTCGACGGCCAGGAGGTAGCGCTTCTCCTCCAGGCTGAGGGGCCTCGGCAGGTTGGGCATGTGGATGGTGCGGGGCTTGGGCTTGTCCTGCGCCGCGGATGCCGCCGCGCCGTGCTGCTCGCCGTGCTGCCCGTCGTGCTGCTCCACCTGCACCGCCACGGACCCGCGGCCCTGCGGGTGGCCGCCAAGCCCGGCGACGGCTCCAGCCAGCATCGGCCCGAGCTTGAAAGGTGAGAAGAAAATTAACCACCGAATGCTGTCCGCGAACAGATATAAAAATTTTAGGTCCTTGCTCCCCTAGCTACGTACGCTGGTATTGCTTTTCTTGCGCTGCTCCATATTCACTGCGACGGCGTGGCGGTGCGTGGCGCGGGGTGCCGAAAGGGCGCGCCTTGCCGGGGCTTCTTTCCCAGAAACGCGGAAAGGCACACCTAGCCTAGCCGGCCCAACAGTGGTGTGGGCATGAGGAAAAGCTAATTATTACCAACACAATTTTGGCAGAAAGGAAGACACCGTCCAGCGGCAGGGTTGCCAGTCGCCGACCATCAACTTCGCGCGAGAAAAGATATGAATATTTTTAAAATATATGTTTGTTGTAATTAGTGCCATTTAGCACGTATTGAGAGCGGATTTCGGCGAATGGAATAATGCCCGTGACTCACCCGACATGCGCTTTCCGGTGGTAGTCCGGCCGTCAGGTCCTGCGTGGAAGAGAGGGTTGCGCCAATGGCTGCGCGTGCTGCGAGGGCCGCCACCGCCTGTCCCACATTTATCAACACTCAGTGTTGCTGGTTGGTCGCTCGACTGGCCGGCTGTTGAGTGTCGGAGGGGTGGGGAGCGGAGGCGTTAGGGTTTGAGGGGACTGAGGGGCTTCGGATGAGCCGCCCCAACCCCCTTAGTGCCCCCTCCCCCAACCCCCTCCCCGCTGAGATTACAGATACTGCCTTCGACTCCCTGGTATGCATATACAGGGTGGCCCGCACCTCGCAAAGGCAAGCCTGCCCGCCCGAGCGGCTGCACGACTGTAGACCCCGCCCCGCCCCCCGCCCCGCCCCGCCCCGCCCCGCCGCCTTGAGTTCTACCTCCTCCCAGCCAGGCTCGCGGCACTGCCATGGGGTGGACGGTTCTGAGAGCCGAATCATCCCTCACTGTAACTTTTCAACGAATGCAATCACATTGAGTAAAAAGTGTTGTTTTATCTGCCGACTAGGAGTGACATGAATTAAGGAATTTCAACCATGACTAAATTTTTGACTACTTACTTAATTTTTTGACAGAGCGTCGGGTAAGATTCCTTGGCGCGGTGCCCCGGCGCCAGCCGTTGTAACCTGTTTCAAATCAGCCCAGCAGCAGGGCCAGCAGCAGGGCCAGCGGGCCGGCAGGGCACCTCAGGCAGAAGTTCAAAGGGCACCAAGAGGCACCAAGCGGCACCAAGGCACGGAATACCTGGGACGGACGTCGGGCAACATACGGCCCTCATTTTCTGTTATTGCGACTTTGAGGCTGCCTCGCATGGAATGCAGGGGACATATTTTGCCTCGCTGCTCGAGGGGCTCCCGTAAGAAACTTTATGACTGCACCAGGTAAGTATAAATGTGTGTTGGGGATAGAATGAAGTAATTAATTTTTTGTTGTTGTGCTCCTTTTTTGGGGACCAGTGAGGAAACGAAGGGATTAGGGCATAAACACACTCCACTCCATCAACAACATTTTAATGGTATTTCTACGGAATAACAAACCATGTGAGAAAATGAAAAAGAAACATCACTGTGACACTGATTTTAGAGAAAATTTACAGTGCACGTTTTTATTGCCGGGGACCCAGGTGAAGGTTTCTTTATTGATGAGTACATTCGTGTGTTAAGTGAACACTTAAAATTCGAGTTAAAGTTAACGTGGTGCAGCCGACCACAAGTCTGTCTGTCGCGGTGGTCGATGCAGCGGTGGTCGGTCACAACCAGCCCGTCAGCACCTGTCCGGAGATCTTGGACTTGCCCCCGGGCTTGGTGGGGCCCGCCGTCCGCACCGGTGAGTCCTTCTTCTCTTCCTTCTTTGCGTCCTTCTTCTCGTCCTGCTTGGCGTCGCTGCTGGGGACCGCTGGGGTGGGCGGCCGCGTGGCGCCGGGCGTCTTTGAGTCCTCCTCCTCCTCGGGGATGGGCGTCCTGGACCGGAAGTCCTGCTTCACGCTGCTCGCCTTGCCTAGCGTGTCCTTGGCGGCGGTGGTGTCCGTGGCGGTGTCCTTGGCGGCGTCCTTGGCGGCGGGCTCTGCGGCCGTGGCGGGGGCGGTGGGTGGAGACGCGGGTGCTGCCGCGGGGGGAGCAGTGACGCTGGTGGTGGGGGCCTCCACCGCGTCCGGGGGCGTGGGCTCGATGTCCACGGTCACGGACTCGGCCTTGGGGGCGTCCTTCTTCAGGCTGCCGATTTGTGACGGCGCCGGCAGCGAGCTCTTGGGGCGCGGCCGGATTATGGAGCCTGGCTGTGACGGCGGCTGCGACGGCGGCTGTGATGGCGGCTGCGACGGTGGCTGCGACGGCGGCTGGGACGTCGTGCCCTTGGCGGCTTTGGGCGGGGACTTGGCCGCGTCGCCCGCCTGCGACGACGCGTCGCCCTCGCCCGCCGCCTCCTTGCTGTCGTACTCCTGCTTGATCTTGCTCATCTTGAACTTGGCGTAGGCGACCCGCGCCGCGGGCGAGACGAGCGACAGCTTGGGGTTGTACTCCACGAGGCGCTCGGGGTCCATGGAGGACAGCGCCTCGCCCTGGTTCTCGATGATGTAGCGGCGCAGGGACTGGCGCGACCGGCGCACGTGGGCCTCGGTCGTGGAGCCGATGGGGTCGCGGGCGATGGTGCTGCGCCGCACCACGGCGTTCCAGTCCTTCTTCTGGGACTGGCTGGACGTGCGACGGCCGATGGCGCGCGCGATCTTGCTGAACACGTCCTTGGGCTCCTTCTCGCTCGAGATGGCGTCCTTCACGATGCCCTCCACCATGCCGATCTGGAAGTCCTTGAGCAGGCGGCGCTCCATGACGCGGCCCTTCTTGCCGGCGACTGCAACAATGAGGTGCCGTCAGAACCCAGAACAACAGCCCAGCCCCCCGGACCGACCGCGGAACTTAAGTGTGCGCGTAAAATCATAGAAGTGTGTACTGAGTACACTCTTTGAGAGTAAACTCTGTGAGCACTAAACTGAGAACTACTGAGGACACACTTAAGCCTCGTGGGGCGTCACCGCCTCTACTTACTGCCCGACTCGTTGGAGTCCACGTTGGGCGTCTTCATGCCGTTGTTGCGGAGGATGTCGATGAGCTCGAAGCGGAGCGTGGAGATGTCCTGGCGGATCTCCATGACGTCATCCTCGGTGATGCCGAACTCGTCGCGCTTGCGCTGCTCCGCCGTGACGTAGCGCCGCACCAGCAGCCGCATCACGGCGTCGTGCCGCTCCTGGGAACGCTCCCGGGTCTTGCTCTGCGCCGTGGCGCCACGCCCATCAAAGCCATTAGTAAGTGAAAAATAAGAAAATAAGAGCAGTAATCGAATTGCTGGGTTGCTGCGACGCGGCGAGGCCCAGGCAGACGCCCACCTTGACGGAGCCGGAGCGCTTCGCCTGCGGCGCCATGCCCAGTGTCTTCTTGATCCACTTGGGCGTAGGGGCCATGTTGAAGGGCGGCGGCAGCGTGCCGCCCTCCTCGAAGTACGACATCCACAAGTGCGAGCGTGCGAACTTCCACTCCGTGTCGGACCGTTCCTGGGAAGCGGCAGAGTGAAAGGATGTCGGTATATGGTCACACTGAGCCAAAGACGAACCGCTATTTTTGGCGAGCGAGGGGTTTTCTTCTCCCCTTCCACTTGCCCTTCACAAAAGCCTTCTGGGTAGCCAGCCTGCGATGCTTTCCGCCAGTAAGTACGACAAAGGGGCCACAGAAAAAGCCTTGAGACGGCTGCGCCACTGATATCAACCGACCCTGTGCCGACTCACCGAAATGATTTGGTACGAGTTGGACATCATGGCGATGAGCATGTTGAGCAGCACGATGATGTTGATGACGGAGTACGAGCCGAACATGAGCATGGCCCAGAAGCGCGTGAAACTCTTGATGCCCTGCAGCTCGAACGCCATCAGGTCCACGAGGCCGAAGCTGGCCCAGAACAGGGATTGTGACGTCTCGAACAGACTGGGAAAGTCGGGAACATTAGGCATTGCTTACTGTGTGCAGCAAGTTGTTATTTCAAGAGCATTTTTTGCCTCGCCTCACACTAATGCAAAACTATTTCGAGAACATCTATCTATGCAGGGCAATATGCTTTCGGATTATAATTTCTGTGTTTTTTTTTTTTTTTCAGTGTACTTTGCGAAGCGACGCCAGATGGCGCAGGCCTTCTCGTTGTTGTCGAAGTCCGGCGAGCCGTCCGGCAGGTGGTAGCACTTCTTCATCTCCAGCTCCGCGTAGTACCAGAGCAGCTGGTTCAAGCCTGCGGCAGAGTGGAGGAATCAGGTTGCTTGTCCGTTCAGGCGCCATCGTTCTGCGAGACGCGATCGGGACGCACCGCAGCCAAAGGCGAACAGGACCAGCGTGTAGATGCAGAAGAACTTCATGATGTCGATGATCATTCGGCCGAGGGAGATTTGCAGCGGCCCCAAGTGAGGGTTCACACTAAATATGTGCACCAGCTTGAGAAAACTGAGGACACAGAAACGCATGAATCGTGGTGCTTCGCAAGTTTGTTTTTGAGTATTCGCAAGTTTCCTTCGCCGAAGGATGTGTACCTGAAAATCATCCCGGCTGCGAATGCGCCCTCGGACAGCAGCATGGGGTCGAAGGGATCCCAGGCCTCTCGAGGGTAGTAAGGGTTCAAGCCATTCCACAGGTCCACCTGAAAATGGAGAGAGCCGAGGTGAGAAACACTGAGAAACACTGACGGCCCGGATCTACGCCTTGCTCCTTAGAAACATTTTGAGCAACCTTGACCAGCCACCAAGAAACTGCTCTGAGGAAGATCCATGTCACGTAGAAGCAGTTCGTACAAAAATCTACGATGTTCCAAAGATCGCTGATGTACTCCAAAAGGCCTTCCTGGTAGAGGGAGCACATTTCGTTCCAAACTAAACCTGAAAAGAAAAAAAACCACAAATATTAATTTTTTTGAAAGCATTCTCTTACTGCAGAACTATCATTCGAGTCAGTTGAAATACGTACTAAAAACGTAAAAAATGACACCGAACTCGACGATTCCGGGCAGGGAGCCCCTCTCGCGTCGCTTCCAGTCGGCCAGGATCTCCTGCATCCAGTCGGGGCCGAACCACTCCATGACGAGGTACTCGAGCCGTTGCGACGCCAGCGCCAGCAGCACTGCGGGCAGAGAACACTGCGGCACCTGCGGCGTGCGACGTGCAAACAACTAGGAGGGGCGGTCCACCTACTGAGGAAGAACGCGTAGGACGCCGAGTGGCAGATGAACTTGACGAAGGGCTTCTTCATGAACTGGCCCTTCTCCGAGTAGGGGGCGAACATGTAGATGGTGGACAGCACGGGGAACATGGCGCCCAGCTTGCCCACCTCGATGAGCTGGCCCACCATGGACTTCCGGCGGAAGCCGGGCAGCCCGTCGTACCAGATGGCCGCCAGCAGCTGCTGCACGTTGGGGTGGGCCACGAACTGCAACACACCGGGGCGGGCCGAGACGGACCGGGACGGACCGGGACGGCCGGCGGGGGGCGCAGAGTCAGTGGTGCTTTGAAGTCAGTGTCGCTTCTGGGAGCGCGTCACCCTGGTACGAAGGGTAGTCCGTTCCCCAGCCCGCGACGGACACCCCCCCGAAACACGTTCACTCCGAAGGAAGGGATGGGAAATCGCGGCAAGTGACGAGAACACCGTTCTCGTTCGGTAGCGAACGAGCTAAGGTCATATGGACGTCCATATTGACCTTACCCCCCACTGAGATTCCAAACGCTATGTGTATAGCACGAATGGTGCAATGCAGCATGAGGAAGTGCAGGCGAGGAACAGAGCAAACGCTTCCGTAAATGGGTTACTCGACTGGGGCCCTTTGGAATTCGAATCCGTGATGGAGCGGCCCTTCGGCGAGCCCCTCGCGAGGGGCCGCTCCATCACGGATTCGAATTCCAAAGGGCCCCAGTCGAGTACACCACTTACGGAAGCGTTTGCTCTGTTCCCCGCCTGCACTTCCTCCTGCAGTGCGCCCCCCACGTGCACCCCGCGCCTCTTTCTCTCTCCCTCTCTCCCTGATCCGTGCTGCCGTCGCCATGGCAACCAGGCTCGGCGCGTGGGAGCGTGGGGCCCGGCGGCGGGGGGGCTTGCACAACGCCAAAGGCGGGTCCGGGCCGGGACGGCCCACGGCTGGGCCGGCACTTTAATGATGGGGTGACGCACTCAATCTCGGAAATGTCGCAAGCGAAACCCACTTGTCAGAAGAGGAGGGCCACATTACATACACATTCAGGCGCGGTTTAAGGAGCTCCCGACAGGGAGGGCGATTGTGTATATTTTGCCTGCCTAACAGTGGTGCTGTGATGCTGGTTGCCTACTACGTATCAGGCGTTTAGGTACGCGAAACCGAGATGCATGGTAGGAGACCGGGCAAGCCGGCAGGTAGGCTGGCAGGCAGGCTAGCAGGCAGGCTGGCAGGTAGGCGGTCCTCCGCTGCAGCCGGCGACGGATTCGGGAGGGATCAGATCAACCAGTTGCCGGGCTCCCAGCATGCTTCTCTGTTGCGCCGACCTGTCTGCCATATGACCTTTACTTCACTCCCCTCCCCCTCTAAACCGCGCCTGTACACAAAATGCCAGAACGAGTTTGCTTTATCGGGCCTATTTCATTGAAGCCGGTTTGCAGACACCTTGTGACACTGATGCGGCGCCTATCCGCTCTCAAAATCTCGGCTTTTAAAAGTCGTGAAAACGACGATAAATGCTGATTTTTACGGATGAGCGGCTCTGGATCCCCGGGGCCGTGCCCGGCCCCATCACAGCTCAGTCCAGCGCATCATCGGGGCACATCACCCTAGTCGGGCCCCCGCGTCGCTGCTGCGCTGTGGCGGGAACAGCGTGCCGCACTGCGCGTCACTGCGCGTCACTGCGCGGCGCTGCACCGCCCCGGGCAGGACAGTGACACGGCAGGCCTGCTTGTCGGCCCTTTGCGCTAGTGTAGCGCCGCTAAACAGTGTGGGGCTGGTTGGGGCCGTACCATTCAAGTCTCACCGTACATAAACCTTGAAAGTGTAAGGCCCACAGTCCTACTACACTGTGAAAATTTGAGTTGTCACTTGATGACAATTTCAAGGCTAATTTTCCTTACAAGGATGTCATCAAAACAATTGATTACATTCTTGTGGCGCCATGAGACAAGTATAGGAGCTTTGACGAAAATGTCATCAATTTGTGACGAGATTATCATCATTTTAAAGTGTTGAAAATAACCACGACTTGGTCATAAAGTGACAACGTATTTTCACAGTGATGCAGCCCGAGATTCATTCACCTGCTTCTGCTTGTACTTGATGGCGAGCTTGAGGCGCTCCAGCGTCTGCCGCTCGCCGGGCTCCCAATTCTCCCCCGTGGGGTTGTAGTTGAGCATGATCTCCAGCTCGTTGGAGGTGCGCGCCTGGTCCATCAGCGAGGTGACGAACGTCTGGCAGACACCTCGCATCTCCTGCACAGCGAAGTAACGCACTCAGCGACACGAAAATTAAAAGCTTCCTGCCTGGACCAGCTTCGTTGTTTGCTGGACATCCAAATAACTGAATGTCGCCAGAACGAACGCCGCGGAACGCCGCTTCGACAGCAAACAAGTTAGTCAAACAAAGTAAATGTTTACTTTGTTCATCATTTTTAACGAAATGAAAAGTCAAAGCAAACTAACTAGTTTGCTGTGAAGGAAGAAAGTTCGTTCTGACACAAAGCATGAGGAAAAACGGTTTTTCGCAGTCCACAAACCAAGAAACCAAGCTGGGGCGCAACGAAAATTGTATTTTCGGGAGTGGCGACCGTGAAATTTCTGGCGGCGGCGCCGCCGACAGTGTACTCACGTTGTACTCGGCGCGGAACTCAGCCTCCATCTTGGCGAGGCGGCGCAGCTCCCAGGACAGCTCGAAGGAGGTGAGCAGGGGGTCGCGCGAGGACAGGGCGATCAGCGACGGCGCGGACAGGGCGCGGTAGGCGTTGATGCGCGCCTGCGAGTGGCGCAGCGAGTCCAGCGAGCTGGACGAGATGCACTCGTCGCAGCCGCACCTGCACAAAACGTTCTCAAATTTCAAACATACAGCCCGTAATCGGCCCGCTCGTTCTCTCTCTCTCTCTCTCTCTCTCTCTCTCTCTCTCTCTCTCTCTCTCTCTCTCTCTCTCTCTCTCTCTCTCTCTCTCTCTCTCTGCCGTGTTTATCGCGTAGCTTGATCCGACTTGATCCGTTTTCCTGGTCTTGACATGCGAGCAGCCAGCAGCGCGGTGGTATTCAGGAAAATTGACACCCGGGCGCTACCGCTGTCTGGTTGCAGTCGGACTATCACAACCTGACCCTGACCCTGGCCTTGGCGCCTCGGGGGGAGACCGTGCAAACTCCACTCCACCGGGGAAGACTAGACAGTGAACGCGCAGCCGCCGGGGAAGACTGAGCTATCTCGCATTCTTTCCGGCAAGAGATAGCCTAGTCTCCCACGGGGATGTCAGCGAGTCGAACAATTTCAGAGCAGGGGGCGTTGTCAGCCGGGCGCCTCAACAAACCAAAGTCCCTGCTTTTTTCCCTTTTCGTGTCGCAATGACGCGATTCTGGGTACGAGTTCCTCTTATTTCAACAGGAAAACCAACCAGAACTCTGTGGCATTGCGGGGAAGCCGCGATCCTAATAGTGCGGCGGCTGTCTGTATAAAACGAAATGCCACGATTGCAAAAAGTCGATTTCAAGTGTGAAGCGGCTTGTCCTAACGAGGAATAGTCGTGTTGGCGGATCACAGTCCAGCACGTACCATGCGCGCCGCAGCGATCCACCCAGTTCAGACACGCCCCTACTAATTTTTTTTTGAAAGACTCTATAACTCCTCTCACATTCCGAGTGGATCTTTTCTTGTTTTTTTGCGTGTCTTCGGTGTCCTTTTTGGGTGCTCACCTCACGTCGTGGGGCATGGGCAGGGTGGCCCCTCGGTCCAGCAGGATCTTGAGGATCTCGTAGTTGTTCATGTGCGCGGCCAGGATGAGCGGCGTGATGTCCGGCGTGAAGGTGGACGAGGACCGGTCCACGGCCTCCCAGCTCTGCACACAGTAAAGACACAGCGACAGTGCGCGGTTCCACGTTGTCGCCGAAACGGAAGCCGCGAAGCCGGCGCGAAGACGGCGGAGTGGAGCCGCTTACGTAGGGCTGGCCCTGCACGTGGATCTTCTCCTCCCACTCGAGCAGCATCTCCACGGCCTCCACGTACTCCTCCTTGATGGCGTGCAGCAGCGCGTCCTGCGGCAAAGCAAGCCTTTGAAACGGCAGAGTGCAGCAGGGCGATTCCAAAGCAGTGCTCTCTCGCATCGCTGCGGACACTGTCCGGACAGCCCCACGAGTGCGAGAGAGACAGAGCGACGAGAGCGCTGTTCGGAGTCAGCCTGCAGGGCGCGGGATCGTTACCGTTTTTCTCCGGCCGCGACGAGGCAAACTCGCTCGGATCAGAGCGGGCGGGGCCGCGCCGCGGAACAAGGGCAAAGGGCGGGGCGGCGAGGCCGCGACGCGAGGCCCTGATTTGGGATGCAGGGACGGTGCGGTGCGCGACGCCGCGGCGCCTCAGCGAGTGTGGCGACGCCGGGGTGAGGACCCGGAAGGGGGCGCCTGCCGGCCGGCCAGCAGCGGCCTAGGTGTCTGCCCGGAAAGTAGCCGCACCCAACGCACCTTGACTTTGATGTTGAACTCGAGCAGCAGCCGCATCAGCTCCGCGTTCTCGTTCTCGATGGCGGCGATGAGCGCGGACCGGTCCAGCGGGTCCACGCAGTTGATGTTGAGCTGCTCCGGTTTGTCTTTGTACTCCTCGAGCAGTCTGCCGCACACAAAGCGAAGCCCACATCGGCGTATTTTAATTTGGGCGTGGGCGCAGGGACTCAGCGCAGGGAGTCGGCGCAGTTTGTCAACTTTGTGGGCGAGCTATGTGAGCCGTCTGATGTTGACTCGCTGACATACTTCCTGACAGTGGCGACGTCGCCCCGCTCGGCCAGCAGAAGGAAGCGCTTCTCGAGCGAGGAGAGCGAGAACTCGCTGCTCATGGGCTGCAGGGACTGCTGCGACGTGGAAGAGCCCACGTTGCTCTTGCTGCCCAGCAAGTCCTGCCGCGACTCCCCCGCCATCATGGTGAGGCCGGGGCTGGCCGCGCTAGGCGCGCCTCACGCCGCACTGTGAAGTGTAAGTGTGACGATGCAGTACCCGCGTTGCAATGCTTGGATTGGCCGCCCCAAGACCAGGGTCTCGGTCACGGGGTTCGCACTCACCGGAAAAGGAGAGCCAAAGGGACAGTCCCCTCGGCTACTGTAGTGAGGTGACGGCGGCGCCCCGTCGTCGCCCTGGTGCTGTTGGACCGGCGACGGCCGGCGCGCCGTGCAGCATGGCCAGCAGCTCGGCCTGCAGCGCGGCCTGCAGCGCGGCCTGCAGCTCGGCCTGCAGCTCGGCCTGCAGCTCGGCCTGCAGCTCGGCCTGCAGCTCGGCCTGCAGCGCAGCCTGTAGGTTGGCGGACAGGACTGCAGCAACCGCGTGCCAGCCTCGCTACACCGACCGCCGCGCGACCACCTCAAGCGGGACGAGCAGGGACAAGCCCAGGGCACCGAACTGTCCGCCGCGCCCCGCCCTGCCGCGTGCGCCCCGCCCCGCCCCACCCCACCGCCCCTTGCCAGGCCCCGCCGGGCCAAGAGGCCGGATCAGGGTGCGAGCTCCCGAGGGGGAGGCACCCACAAGCCATAGAACGACACGGTGCGGCTTCCTCGACGCCGTGGTCGAGGCGGCCGTGTTCAGCACCGCGCCGGCGCCCCTGCCCGCCCCAGCCCCAGGGCCCACCCCCGGGGCCACCCCCGGGGCGCAGCGCCGCACCGGGGCTCCCATCCACCGGCAGAAGTCAGCGCGTTTTGCAGCCGGAGGGAGGGTCAGCCGTCAGCCGCGGTCAGCTCACTGATTAGCAGTCTCGTGCCGCGTGCGTGCACGCAGCATGGCTGTGGCTAAGGCTGGGGGCGGCGCCGACCTTCGCGGCGGGGTGTGGGCGGCGGGCGGCGGGCGGCGGGCTTCGGCGGGTGCGGCGGGTGCGGCGGGCGGCGGGCGGCGGGCGGCGGGCGGCGGGCCGGCGGGACGGCGGGGACGGCCGGTGGCGGCGGGGACGGCGGGGGCCGGCGGGGACGGCGGGGACGGCGGGGGCCGGCGGGGACGGCGGGGCCGGCGGGGACGGCGGGGACGGCCGGTGGCGGCGGGGGCGGCAGGGGCAGCGGGGACCTAAGACCCAGGGCAACAATGGCAAGGCGGGTTCCGTGAACATGGGAGGTACTGTACAAGGAACTGGGCTTTTTCGGACAACTCCAGGCGCTGAGGTGCGGATTGCGCTATCACCTCTTGGCATTTTCTGATAGCACTGCGCCTGAACCGCCGCCATGCTTCGCAGCGCGGGCTGGGCGCCAAGACCGTCTGGCGGGGGTGCGGGCAGGGGCCGGTGGGGTTGTGACGGGTTGAGCGGGTCAGGACACTGGTTGTAGTGAGCGGCCGGGGGAAGGGGAGAAGGCGTGGGAATAATGTAGGACACAGCGCGCCTTGGCCGTCTAGGCGCCCTGTCCTTTTTCCCTCGCCATCCTCCGCAAGCATCTCCGGACAGAGGCGTACAGGTGCAATAAAAACTAAATAAAGGAAGTCAATTCATAAAGTTTTTTTTTTTTAATCACCGCCAATTATGGTAACGTAACAACAAAAACGCCAACGAAATAAACCAAAGAACGAAGTATTCAACAGATTATTTTGATTACGTGTTTTTTGTTCATCAATTTAAAGGCAAACATCCCCGTTGTCAAATTTTTAATCTGTTTTATGGTTTTTAAGCGTGAGTGATGCAGCTGAGGCATCTGTTTTGTAGACGTTGGCCAGGATTTTATTTCTTTTTCTGTAAGGTGTAGCGAAACGGAAAAAATAGCAATCGCCCAGGAGGGCCTTTGACGCTCAGCCCTGCAGGCCATAGCTGTTACAAGGTTGGAATTTTTTTTATGAAGCTGATAGGGCAGCGTGCTTACGGTACGACCAGGTTCATCCGTAGCTCACCGGTGCTGCTGGATCTGTCGTGTGCAGTGTCACACGGAAGCCATATTTCGAGCCATTCAACTCCGATGTGTGTCAGTCGGTAGTCGGGTGCGGTGGGGGCGAGCAGGGGGCGAGCAGGGGGCGAGCAGGGGGCGAGCAGGGGGCAAGTAGAGGCGGAGCGTGAAGAAATCACGGCCTCATCGACGACAGCGCACACTAGCGAGACAAAGGCATACGTAAACAAGCGGCGTGAATCGTTTCATGCTCTTGGGAGGTGCGTGAATTGGTAGGCAAAATTTTAATGCCCTTCCAAAGGCACTTAAAGGGCGCTCAAGGGGCGTGAAAGACTGGTTAGGCCCTTAGGAGCGTAGCTGTTTTATGCGTTTGTTTCACCAGAGCAATGCGATTCCACTTGGGCAACACAACTGTCATCAATTCAACATTTGAAATCCCCGACAGCGCTTCGTTTGTTTGATTCGCGGCGGGGCTAGCAGTGGAGCCAGCAGAATCCGGCCTCGAAGTGGCACCACAGTGGCGACGCAGACGATTGACGCGGTCTGCCCAGCGTGCGCAGCAACGTCCTGCTTGATTGGGGGTCGGCCGGGGTTGGCATGCCGACCGCGCGTACAGATCGTGGGTGCATGCGCGGAAAGAAACGACAATAACAAATGTTGCCATTTTAACGATGGCATGCCAGCGCCGACGAAAAAAAAAATAGGAAAAGAAAAGTGGAGATGTGCGGGGACAGCTGTGATCCATCGGTATCCGCGGTTCCCTTTTTATCCAGCCTCGCGTGAGGGATTTCCAGCAGCTGGTCTGAATAACGGTTCCGAGAATGACCTCGAGGAAAGAGGGAAACAGCGACGTGCCTGACACGCGCCCGCCCGCCTTACCGGACTACGTAGTGGGCCCACTACACCGGACCGCTGGGCTAGCGCTGGGCCTGAGCGTGAAGGTGAAGCTGGGCCGGCCACGCGCGCGCGGTGAGGCTGTGCAGGCTGCGTGGGCCTCGGCCCAGCCCTGGGCCCCGCCAGCCCCGCCAGCCCCTGCAGCGTGCACCCTGGCGTAGCCCCACCAGGCCGCCCCCGGGAAGGAAGGGGGGCCTCATGATGATTGAAAAGGGCAGAGGCAGAGAGCCACCACGCGCCACTTTATGAATGCAAAGCGTCAACGGACAGCGCCTCTATCTAGCGATGTACAAATACCGGTAAGATTCAAAGTTACGTAAATAACGGTAAAATACGGTATTTTACTGTATTATACGGTATATTTGGGTAAAGTAAAATTTTATCGTTTTCATCCACTTTGCTGCGATACAGCTCCCAAACTAAGGCGGCCAATCGCACTCCGTAACAAAGGTGTTCTAAAGGAAGGCCCAAAGACCAGCTACCCGTTGGGGGAGAACGACTAGCCACCTTAGATCAGACGCAGTGGCTGCCCTAAGTCAGCCCAAACGACGATTTCTACACATTTGATTCCGTTTCGACAAACTTTGCTGCAATACCGCTCCCAAACTAAGGCGGCCAATCGCACTCCGTAACAAAGGTGTTCTAAAGGAAGGCCCAAAGACCAGCTACCCGTTGGGGGAGAACGACTAGCCACCTTAGATCAGACGCAGTGGCTGCCCAAAGTCAGCTCAAACCACACATTTGACCGAGGGGGCCACCACTCTCATTTCAGGCGTACACAAGATTACGGGATTACGGGAAATTTACTAGGGATTACGCGTGAAATTTTCGAAAATTGGTTCGAAAACGTTGAAAAATAGCTCAAAAACGTTGAAAAATGACTAAAAACGTTGAAAAATGACAGAATTTTTTCAAGGATTACGTGATTACGCCATGGATTACCAGGGATTACCAGCCAATTTGTACACAGGATTACGGGGGTGGTGGCCCCCTCGCATTTGACGCTGTTTCGACAAACTTTGCGTACTGCTTATTTCAATATTAACAATAGTTTCAAAATTACCAAAAAATACTAATTTTACCGGGGACTGCGTTAAATACCGTATTTTACCGTAATTTACCAGTTTTCCCTTCTTTTTGTGTATTTTTGGGCCACAACCCTTAAAAAAATCTGACAGTTCACAGTCTGTTTTGAAAACTCTATACTCATTGGCCGGTGGAGTGTAAAGAAAAGGCAATTTAATTTTTCATCCAGTTTTCTTGAACATTTAATTTTGGTTGAGAATATGGCTAAAGCCACATTCCATTTCTGAAATCGGACATCAAGAAGCGACAGCCAGTTAAAATAAAATCTATGTGCCAAATTTTTTTAAATTTTATCTATTAAAATTAGGCTTTTAATTTTTTAACTGTGTTGTACGTTTACAAATTGTTCTACAAGTACGTATAGACAAAGATGCTCTGGTGGTTATTGCAATTGACCAAAAGTTACTGCTTGAATTCCAGTAGTGCACTGAGCGAGTGGGGTGGTGGGTGGTGTGGTGGTGGTAGTTTCAGGGTTAGTGAGTCAGTCGACACAGAGGACATATTGTACACCGCAGTTTATTGAAACACACATCGTGGATACAGAGTCACAAGGAATGACTACTTCAGCAGGTACAAGAGAGACAGGCGGCACTACGACGTTGCTACAGCCCGTCTCAGGAGAGGAAAGATTACTGCGGGTTCGTCCCCGCCGGCCCAGGCGGCCGGCAGTCGGCCGGCAAGCAGAGGCCATCCGTAAGGATTTTCTTTTCACGCCTGGGACGGCCGGGACGGGGTAACGGGAAGAAAACAAAGACCTAGCGGGCTGCACGTCCCATACGCCGGACGTGCGCACCGTGTCTAGGGGTACACCGTCCCTGACACCATTCGCTATCTCTCTCCGTCTCCTCCACCCACTCACGCTCACGGTGGTACTCACCCACAGACACGCACATTATGATTTACACAGCAGACTCTGATCACAGAGTCGCCTCCCGTCCAGCCACGTCAGGAAGGCATCCCGGAAGTTACATCATGGTTACATGTTGACATCGAAAGCATTATACTTGTATACAAACAAAAGAACTTTACTCTACGCACCCAGATCGAAATATTTTCACATCAATGTGGTCGGGAAACCATTTTCGGGTGCATACTACAAACTGGAAAAATAACGCGTTCGCTAATATCTGTTTGCGTATACGCAGTTTTTGCTACACTATACTGTTTCTATCCTGCTGTCTCCCACCCTCGCACGAAGCGCTACGTTCCCCAACTGTGCGGCCATGACCACGCTTCCTTCATTCTCTTCTCTCTCTCTCTCTCTACGACCTAGGTAACCTAACCTACAGTAAAACTAAAGGAGGGGGCAGCCTGTGGCCACCTATGGATTTAACGACTGTCTTTACTACGCAGTCGACCACTACGAACCCAAAACTAAATTAGTAACCTAGCCATACGACCTACGTGCATAAATGATGGCGAAGCGAGGGGATGTGAGGACCGAGGCTCAAGTCTGACCGCTCCCCGGAGACAGGGTATTCCGCTGTGCTACAGAGTTGCCACACCAAGATACTCGATTTCCCTCAAACCGTGGTGACACTACAAGTTATTTACAGGAAGCGGATCTCTATCTATTTTAAATTTTGTGAAAAATTTTATATTTAAAATTAAGATAATAGTCTTTTAAAGCCGAAAGAAACAGGGCACCAACAACGCGCCTGAAATAAGACTAAAGGTTCTAGACTAAATTATATACAATCTGCCTGCAATGTTGATGACTGTGTCCTCACTTTGTTTCCTATCATCCGCAGGTGTTTCCCCAAAAGAAGAGTGATTCGAACTAAAAGCACGAAAATCGATTTGTGGTGAGCCATTTGGATAAAAAAAATGTCACCTGGTTGCCTACATCCATGATTACGGCTGAAATAAACTCATTTCTGTTTGAAGTATTTTGAAATTATTTTGAAATTTTGCGTTCACGCTGGGTTAAACCTTGCTAAAACTTCTCCCCCCAAAATTGATTTTTCTTCAATAACTCGGGAAACAAATTCTGGTCCATATAATTCAGAACAAGATTGTCATAGAACGTAAATATTTGATCCTAACAGCTCACTAGAAAAAGTAGTTTGTGTTCCCTATACAAGGAGTCACCCGGGGGACACACGATCTGGCAACACTGTTACACTATTCAGACTGGAATCGCGGCCACAATTCTGATCTGGATAGGGCGGAGTACCCTGTTAGTGCAGAGAGGACTAAGGGGTGAAGCGGCGGCGCGCGCTGCCTAGGCGACTGGGGCGCGTTTGCTGCCAGTGTTGTCGTGGGCCTCCTGGTGAGAGCCCTCTCCCTCCGCGGAGTCATCGGAGGCCACGTACGCACGGTCGGTGCGAGCGAAGGCCCCGGAGGCCGCCGGGGTGGTGGCGCTACCCCCAGCGCTTCCCCCGGCGCTTCCGCCACCGGCCACCTCGGCCCTCTCCCTGGCCGCGCGCACGCAGCGCACGCGGCGGCCCAGCAGCCCGCCGTCCGGGCGCAGCACATTGGCCGCGTTCGCGCGCATGAAGTGCTCCAGGATGGAGCCGCCGGGCACCTCCCCGAGCCCAGCGCGGGCCCAGTCCCCGCGACCGAACCTCACGTAGTTGCTGTCCGGACCGAGCCCAGAACGCCCAAATCGCACGTAGTTACTAGTTTCCGGGCGACCAAATCGCACGAAGTTATTGTCAACTGAACGGCCGAGACGGATGAAATTGCTCTCTTCCGGGCGACCGAAGCGGACGAAATTACTTTCCACCTGAGCCCTGGCGATTCCATCGTTCCTCCCAAACCGCACGAAGTTATCCTGGTTCGTTCCACTGCGATCAACCATCTCCAAGTGATCGTCGAAGCCCATCCGCCCGAAGCGGATGAACCCGTTGGTGTTGTCATTCTCGCCGCGGGAGATCCGCTCCAGTTGCCCAAAGGCCGGGCTCCGACCAAGACGCATGTAGTTCTCAGCTCGGCGATTCATGGGGTCAGTCGTCCCGCTCCGGCCATATCGCATGAAGTTCCTCTCCAGGTCAGTCCGGCGGTTGAGCAGAGTGGCCAGGAAATCCTCGTACCTGGACAGAAGGCAGGCCGTGAGACCTGGGCTGCTATGCCGCCAGCCACACAACAACAACGACCCAAAGGACTACGTACTCGGAGTTGACAGAGTCGTCAGCATCGGCTTGGGCCAGGCAGGTCGGCGCGAAGCAGCAAGCGACCAGGAGCAGCATCAGCACGAAGAGCACCATCCTGGAAAAAATGAAGTTTTATTGGTTAGGCTTTCCTCCAGGACTGTTAATTTTCCCTCCACAATTCGTTTTGCTTTCATTTTAAATTTGGTTGGAGAATCTACAGCTGTCCTAACGGCAGAAGGGAAATGCCGAGGCAAACTGCTCGTGGGTTGCTGATGTTTCGTCTTTTACCAACACTGGTAAAACAAAGGCATAAAAATACGATTTCAAGAAATCCTAGGAGTCACGAAGTCAATTTGATTATTGTGTAAGAGTGTGGAGAAAGAAAAGAAGTGGTGTTGTGAAGTTGTGGCTCAGGGGACTACCAATGGCAGTGGTACCAATGTGGTCGATGTGCCACCCGTCGAAATTTAAACTTGACAATAAATAGAAATCAAAATGCTGGTAAATTCAAAATATTCCAATGCTAATGTATTCCGCAGTGTTCTGACAATGGAACATCTTTAAAGTCCATCATTATTAAAATGTTCTTAGCAGAAAGAAGGCAGTAAATTATTTTCACGGGTTGGCAACAATCTTCTCGGCGTCTGCGCCCTTGCGAAAATCGCGAAGCTGAAAGCACCAGCAGTCGCGCATTAAAAATGCCCCTCCATTGTTGCTGACGTTGAATTGTTTGGCTTGTTTCAAAAGGCTATGGTTCTCTAGTCATGTTTTCTTCAATTCTGTGTAATAGTTCTCACTCACAACGTATTAACACCACGACGGTTGGTTTGACAAACTTCATAAACTCGGGAGGGAAGGTTTCGAAACGCGGGTGAGTCTTGTTCGAGGAACATGAGCACTGCAAGTCGCGAGGTGGAGCGAAGTGGTCCTAGTGCTAACTGAATCACAACAACAACAAAATTGTTTTGTTGACAGAAAAAAAAGTGATATTTGAAAAACTTTATGTCAGAAAAAAAGAACTTTTGTATTGCTAATTTTTTGTGAACATTTTTTTAGAAAGTTATCACATTAAAATTGAAAATTTGTCTTATATGAATTTTCATTAGCAGGAAACAAAGAAAAAACAAAAAAGAGAGCAAAATTAATACAGATTTCAAATGCTACAGTTGGTTAAACTGTTAAACAGGTTGCAAACCTACTGCGCATGTCCAAAAACACTCCGATCAAGAAGTATTATTGGATAGTTCTACCCGAAAAACTGCGTTCGAACCGACACCAATTCTATTGTTGCATCTTGTCTACCTGCAGTCAAAGAAATTTTTCATTTCGAACGTGCCATTTCAGCTTTTGGAGTAAGCTGTACAGACCCAAAATGAAGCTCGGCTATTGGTCCTCCCCGGCTCGGCTCCCCCCAATCCCTTTGACGAGTCGAGTTTTGCCATGGAAACGGCGATTTTGACAGCAAATTTCTCAAAATTGGCCGTTAACTTTTTAACCAGATTTCAGCATAAGAATCAGCGTTCAAAGTTCTACAAGTCTGCAAAATCTCATTAAAATCGTATAGAAAATTTCCGAAATGCATAAAGGGCCACACAAATTGAATCTCGGGCCGGCTGAATCCTGGGTATACTATAAGGCTACTTCGTGCCTAAAAATTACGCCCTTTGGGGCATAAATACTCTTTTACGCCCTTGCAAGGGCACAAATCGTTTATGCCCTTGGAAAGGGCGTAAATAGTATAGGAATTTCAAGCAAAGTTTTAATGCCCTTCCCAAAGGCATAAACGATTTATGCCCTTTAAGGGCGTAAATCGTTAACGCCCTTAAAGGGCATAATTCTAATGCCTTTGTTTCACCAGTGAAGCCCTTCATGTTCGATGGGGAAGGAGGGGCTTCCCACCCAGCTTGCATCGAATGCGGAAAACATGAGTCGGTCCATACGCTAGGGCGCTACGCGTTCAGCCCGCATTATTGATTCATGGACACGAGGCAGAAAATTGCTGCTTATTTCGTCATTACTGACCCGTAATTCCCTGCCCTCGCAGGCAGCCGTCCCTGCACTTTCCCCTCGCACTTCATTTGCATGAAAAAATAAACGTGCCGCGAGGCCGCGGATGGGTAGGCGGCGCGGAGCTAGTTTACTCTGCATTCGAGGCGGCCAAAACAGGGACGCTGCGTGACTGCTACTTGCGATGGAGATTCGCTTCGATTGGACAAAAGGCGTGTCCGCGCGGTCTCTGCGTGACGCGTGCGGCCCTGCCCCTGGGCCTGGCCTGCCCTGGCCTGCCCTGGCCTGCCCTGGCCTGGCCTGCCCTGGCCTGCCCTGGCCTGCCCTGGCCTGCCCTGGCCTGCCCTGGCCTGCCCTGGCCTGCCCTGGCCTGCCCTGGCCTGCCCTGGCCTGCCCTGGCCTGCCCTGGCCTGCCCTGGCCTGCCCTGGCCTGCCCTGGCCTGCCCTGGCCTGCCCTGGCCTGCCCTGGCCTGCCCCTGGCCTGCCCTGGGTCCTGCCCTGGCTGCCCTGGCCTGCCCTGGCCTGCCTGGCTCTCCATTTCCCTTTGCCTGCTGAATCCTGGCCTGCCTGCAATCTCATGGCCTGCCTCTGCCTGCCCTGGCCTGCCTGGCTTTTCTGCTGCCCTGCCTGACCGGCCTGCCTGGCCTGCCCTGGCCTGACCTGGCTGCCGTGGCTCCCTGGCCTGCCCTGGCCTGCCCTGGCCTGCCCTGGCCTGCCCTGGCCTGCCCTGGCCTGCCCTGGCCTGCCCTGGCCTGCCCTGGCCTGCCCTGGCCTGCCCTGGCCTGCCCTGGCCTGCCCTGGCCTGCCCTGGCCTGCCCTGGCCTGCCCTGGCCTGCCCTGGCCTGCCCTGGCCTGCCCTGGCCTGCCCTGGCCTGCCCTGGCCTGCCCTGGCCTGCCCTGGCCTGCCCTCCGTCTGATCTGCCCTGAAAGGCTGGAAGGCGAGCCCCACAATGGGGACGGCGAGCACAACTCGCGCGGACTCGCATCGCCCCGCCGGACCGCCGGACCCACCGCCATGGACATTCCTGCCCCGCCCCGCCCCGCCCCGCCAAAGTTAAATCAGAACAGAGACGGGACTCGGAAGGGCTTTCTAACCAGGTTACCGTCCGCGTCCCCGTCTCAAGGCGGCCCTCGGGCGGCCCCGAGGGGTTACCCACTCGTTGTTTTAATGTACACACGATTCCGGATTCCCGCGATTCCCAGAACAACCTTACCTGAGAAAAGAGAGAACTTTCGAAAATTTGCTTTGTATTCGAATGTTTTTGGTGTATCACATGATTACCATGACTTTAAATTGAAACTATGAGGATTTTCCATCAATTTAAAAGATCTACGAATGATTCCCGGACTGAGCGTACACATGATTCCCGGAGTGGGTAACCCCTCGGGCGGCCCTCAGCGTCCTGCACCGAGGCGTACCGAGCAGACGGCCTGCACCTAGGAGGCAGCCTTTACCGAGAACACGGCCCGGCCCGCCGCCCGCTGCGCCGCCATGAGAGCTCGGCCGAACGTGAGCACAGCATTGTCCGCTGCCTCCGCCAATATGATTGCTGCGCCCACACTGCACGCGCGCCACGCGTCCCCCCCCCCCCCATCGACGCCGAAGTCAGCAGCAGGCCGGCCAGCATGCAACGCGGAAAACTAAAAATCATTAAGAAAAACGATGATCGGCCTACGCGGTAGCGCGGTCCACGCCGGCCCACGCCGCGGCGCTAAGTACACTATAAAAATTGCTCGCTTCGCGCTTTGCGCTTGGCTCCGCAGCGCCAAGATGGCGGACGGGCCTTTGCTGCCTTGCCTTGCGGCTGCGCGGCTGCAATCCAACGCCCTGGATAATGATGGCAATCCAGTCGGCTGTTAATTAGGGGGACGTAACACGATGTAGCGACATCCACATGGAGGGGGTGGGGTGATATAAGGGTGCGAGGGCCGCGGGGGCCGCGGGGGCCAGGCTGGCCGGATGGGGGCGTTTTTGGCGGAGTTCGCTTTGCCCCGCCCCGCCCCGCCCCGCCCCGCCCTTCCAGACCACTCTGAACCATGTCTCAACAGGGCCGGCTTCGCGTGCCTCGCGTCGCCCACTCGGTGAAGTTCGCGCTTTGCGTTTCCGCGCCACTCGAAGTGGGTATCTGCTTCCCGACGGTCTGCCTGTCAGCGTCCGTCTGTCCGCCTGTCAGCGTCCGTCTGTCCGCCTGTCAGCGTCCGTCTGTCCGCCTGTCAGCGTCCGTCTGTCTGCCTGTCAGCGTCCGTCTGTCTGCCTGTCTTTGCACCTGTCTTTCAGTCTGCCTGTCTGTCTGGTCTTCTTCGCGGGATAGCGACGTGGGCGTACCTGCGGGCCGCCTCCTGTTTACGTCTCCATCCCGGCCTCCTTGATCCAACCCCTCCTTTCCCCGCCTCGGGAATCAATGTGAACGTGGAGGCAGCCAGCCACGCAGGGGTGGGCCGGCGGGGCGGGGACGAACGTGTTGCGCGCGGTGGCGGAGTGGAGCCGCGAGAGCACTTTGACATACTTTAACAGGCCGCTGCTTCCGGGAAGGCGAACCAAACGAAGACATGTCCCTGGCAGTTCATCATTTGATTACTCGGCGTGTGTAGACAGTGACCGAGCAGCGCCATGGCTACGCCGCTACGCCAGTGCACTGCGGCCAAGCCGCGTGCCAGGCAGGCCGATGCAGGCCGAGCAGGCCGAGCGGGCAGTGCCGCCCCTCCTCCCACGCGCGCCCCCTCCCCTCTCCACTCCGCTGCCCCCGCAGGACAATGTCCCCTGGCTGCCGTGATGCCGTCAAAAGTAGCAGCGCAATTTCCTTTCCACTGAATGTAGAGATACTAACTAGGTAAAGTCTAAACTTAAGGCTGAGCCTAAGTTCCCACTTGCAAGTTGACATTTCATAAAGATAAAATAATTTGTTTTCTGTACTTTGATTATACTTATTAATTTTTCTAAGTTTGAATGTGGGATTAACAGTATTTCCACTTTGTTTTCCTAGTTTAGGACGGGGTTTTATAATTTTTGGTTTGTATTCACCAAAGAAGTCATTTGTTACAACTTTTTTTTTCTCACCGCCCCATGTAAGCAGGCCAAAGTTTGAGATGGAGTTTAAGTCCCCATGG